CAACCGAGCTTCTTCAAACAAGAACAAGAGACCTTGTCTTGCAGCTGAACTGAAACTTTAGCGAACTGTTTTAGAACACTTTACAGGAAAGTAACACGTCTGCACTCGGCGACATTTAGCATTGAACGCTTCTCAGCTTCCTTACTGAGCCTTATGGGTAATAAAGTTTTTCAAAGGTTACACAACACAGAGTCTCACATCGCTAAATAATAATCAGATGAACTAGTATGTCCTTGTTAGGCATGGACTGTTACTAGCATTAATATGAACCCTCTGATCTTCTAATATTTCACAACACCTACTAAGTGCTTAAGGTCTCACCAATGTGTCTGTTGGGTAGCTTCTTCAGGAGACATGGTTCTTCGAGTCCGGATGGGGCTCTGATGGTGGCCATCAGGCTGCTCAGGTCTGTCTCCATGATCTTCAGGGAAACATCTGTAGCCGTCCCAACATTGAGCTGGGACATCCTCGTGAAGTCCTCCCCTGGTGTTAAAATAACAAAACGGACTGAAGGATCTGACCGGATGCAGAACAGCATCAAATGTCTGAGTCTGTCTGAGAGTTCGTACCAGTGACTTTAGCCATGAAGGGGCTGCCAGCAATGTTCTGGTCATCAAACTTGACAATGATGTTGTAGTCTCCAGGTGCTGTTGGCAGGTAGGACACCGTGCATGTCCCATCTTTGTTGTCTTTACAGCTGATCTCTGCTTTGGATGGACCCTCAACAGCCAGAGACAAACCTCCTGGAGACGAACCAACCGACCGTTAAGGACACCAGCCTAAAACTCTGCTCAACAACACACATCTGCTCTGGTTGTGTGGTTCTTCAGTGATGCTTTATGAGTTTCAAACAGTTTAGTAAGGGGTTACCTTCTCCAGCATCTTTGGTGGTGATGGTGAAAATGGCAGGCGTGTTCACCAATCCGTGGCTCAGACCGGGACCAAAAGCTGTCACATGACCACTGTTGATAGCATCAACGTAGAACTGAAGTGGACTTCCTGTAAGCCAGAACACAAAAAGATCTGAATCAAAAACAGTAGGGTAGAGTTTAAAACAACCAGTTATCCTGTTGGTTCACAATTCTTTCAGAGGGCAGCAGTAGCTCAGGAGGTAGAGCGGGTTGCCAAGTAATCAGAAGGTTGTAGGGTAGATCCCGGCTCCGGACAGAGAATGCTGCTGTTGTGTCCTTGGGCAAGACACTTAACCCACCTAACCTGCTGGTGGTGGTCGGAGGGACCGGTGGCGCCTGTGTTCGGCAGCCTCGCCTCTGTCAGCGCGCCCCAGGGCAGCTGTGGCTACATCGTAGCTCATCCCCACCAGTGTGTGAACGTATGAATGACTGATTGTGTTGTGAAGCGCCTTGGGGGGTTGCAGTAGGCAACATGGGTTAAGTATCTTGCCAAACAGCAGCATTCTCTGGTCGGAGCCGGGATTGAACCCGCAACCTTCTGATTACTGGACACCCTGCTCTGGCTTGTGAGCTCCTGCTGCTGCTGTGGAAAACAATAGTTAAACTACGGTGGACAAGCTGCCCTAAACAGGTGAGTTTTTAGCCTGAAGTTGGGAAGGGTGAGAGAGTCGACATTACAGATGTCGGGGGGAAGTGAGTTTCAAGGTTTAGGGACAAAGCAGTCAAAAGTCTTGGTGACGAGGCGGGAAGAGGACACAGCAAGATGGATGGAGGTGGGAGGAGGAGGCAACATAGACAATGTCACACAAATAGGGAGGAACAAGACTGATGATGCTGAATTTAAATAGAAGTTTGAAAATTATTCTGAACTTAACAGGTAACCGGCGGAGGTGTTGAAGGGCAGGGGTGGAGTAATGGAAGGAGGGGTTATAGTGATGATGTGCACGGTGAACGCCTGTGCTCGGCTTCTGACCAAGTCCTCCAAACACACCCACATCACCCCGCTTCTCCTCCAGCTTCACTGGCTGCCAGTCAACTTCAGGGTTCATTTCAAGATCCTGGTTCTGGTCTATAGGGCCTTACATGGACAAGCTCCATCCTCAGCTTGGTTTATGCTTGACGCATTTACTTTCCGCTTGGTGATGCGGCTCGCCGATGGAACGCGCTTCACAACTCGCAGCGTTTATGGTTCATGTGGCTCGTCTCTGCGGTGAGCCAATATTCTCCCAAACTGTAGGGGGCAGCATGGAGCTCTACGGCATGCATCCAACACTACACCATAGTAGAAGTAGAAATTACTGTTTACAACATGGCATTCCAGCATTTTTAACAGCGTCCTCGTCTTTTCCGACAGTGCGAGCTATTTCTCTCCAAGAATTATTAACAACATGTTGATCACGGTGATCTCTGAGAGCTGAATCATACAAATGTCTGTATTTACCAACCTCTGCCATACTAGTTCTTGCCGGTCCGCCATGTTTCTCCGCGTCTGTCCGTCCGCGTGGTTAGAACATTTCCTAGGTGTGCAGTGCGGAAAGTTTGGGCCGTGTGGAGGCGCGGCGGAGGGGCGTGGTTGTTAAAATGACGCAACTTTGCAGCGCGGAGCCGTGCGGACCTCACGGACGCATCAAGCATAAACCAAGCTTAAGGCTATTGCCCCACGACCCGACTCCGGATAAGTGAAAGAAAATTGATGGATGGATGGATGGATGGATGGATGGATGGATGGATAGATGATGGATGGATGGATGGATGGATGGATGGATGGATGGATGGATGGATGGATGGATGGATGGATGGATGAATGGATGGAAGGATGGATAGATAGATGATGGATGGATGGATGGATGGATGGATACATGATAGATGGATGGATGGATGGATGGATACATGATGGATGGATGGATGGATGGATAGATGATGGATGGATGGATGGATGGATGGATAGATGATGGATAGATGATGGATGGATGGATACATGATGGATGGATGGATGGATGGATGGATGGATGGATACATGATGGATGGATGGATGGATGGATGGATGGATGATGGATAGATGATGGATGGATGGATACATGATAGATGGATGGATGGATGGATACATGATAGATGGATGGATGGATGGATACATGATAGATGGATGGATGGATGGATAGATGATGGATAGATGATGGATGGATACATGATAGATGGATGGATGGATGGATAGATGATGGATAGATGATGGATGGATGGATGGATGGATGGATACATGATGGATGGATGGATGGATGGAAAGATGATGGATAGATGATGGATAGATGATGGATGGATGGATGGATGGATAGATGATGGATGGATGGATACATGATGGATGGATGGATGGATGGATGGATGGATGGATGGATGGATAGATGATGGATAGATGATGGATGGATGGATACATGATGGATGGATGGATGGATGGATAGATGATGGATGGATGGATACATGATGGATGGATGGATGGATGGATGGATGGATAGATGATGGATGGATGGATACATGATGGATGGATGGATGGATGGATGGATGGATGGATGGATGGATAGATGATGGATAGATGATGGATGGATGGATGGATGGATGGATAGATGATGGATAGATGATGGATAGATGATGGATGGATGGATGGATGGATGGATACATGATGGATGGATGGATGGATGGAAAGATGATGGATAGATGATGGATAGATGATGGATGGATGGATGGATGGATAGATGATGGATGGATGATGGATAGATGATGGATGGATGGATGGATGGATAGATGATGGATAGATGATGGATGGATGGATAGATGATGGATAGATGATGGATGGATGGATAGATGATGGATAGATGATGGATGGATGGATGGATAGATAGATGATGGATAGATGATGGATGGATGGATAGATGAAGGATGGATGGATACATGATGGATGGATGGATGGATAGATGATGGATAGATGATGGATAAATGATGGATGGATGGATGGATGGATGGATGGATGGATGGATGGATAGATGATGGATGGATGGATGGATACATGATGGATGGATGGATGGATGGATGGATAGATGATGGATAGATGATGGATAGATGATGGATGGATGGATGGATGGATGGATGGATGGATAGATGATGGATGGATGGATAGATGATGGATGGATGGATATATGATGGATGGATGGATGGATACATGATGGATGGATGGATGGATGGATAGATGATGGATGGATGGATGGATACATGATAGATGGATGGATGGATGGATACATGATGGATGGATGGATGGATGGATGGATGGACGGGCATTATCGGGATATCAGTAAAAAAGCCAACATCGAGCATCACTAGTTACAATCGTGACCTCCACGAGCCTAGAGCTAACATGTGACTAAAGATGGCCACCATAGTATACACACATTTAAATAAAACTTTATTTAGATTAAGTTAATTTTGGTCCATTTTGAATTAAACTTGTTCACTGCCATTGCCGACTAGTCATCATTTGCATTTTTTTTTACTGTGTGGGCGTCAGACGAGCCCCCCCACCGTGAGAACAGCAAACTCAGCTCTAAAGCCGATCTTCATCCGCGTACGTCACGCGTCACGTGACCAGGAAGCAGAACATCCATGTGTTAGGAGATCGTTTTGGGCCGCTGCTGTAAAAAAAATGAGACTCGAACCGGAAAAGCTTCTGCCGATCACAATTCAACAACGGATAACGCTCCAAACACGCGGATTCTTCCTGATGTAAGAAGTGAGTCTACGCTTTGTTTTGGTTGTTTTGGCGTCGACATCATGCTAGCGCACAACGTTCTGTGACTCTTAAAAACTGTGAAAACACTGAAAAACGCTGTCAGCAAAGGGCTTTACCGATCAGGAAACAGCTGGAGATGAATGAGTTAAGGACAGGCCCAAAGCAGTAATAAAGTGGTTTACTGATGACACTTGGCTCTAAATTACACTAACAGAATGTTCAGATTGAGCCAGAGTCTACCTGGGATGTGATTTCCATCATATCTAATGTCCATCTCATGTAGTCCTCGTTCAGTAGGGGAGTACTTCACTGTCACTGTTCCGTCTTTGTTATCGGTGATGTGGGGATGAGCTGTCTGACCCGATGGCATCCGCACTTCACCTGCAGGACAAAAGAAAACAACGGCCTTCAAAGTGACATCAGAGACTTTCTGTCTAATTCATCTGAGTCGCGTTCAGAAGAAGTTGGTTCTTAAAAATGAGTCTGAAGCTCGATTCACATGCCAGGGTTTTAAAGCTGTTGGATGATTTTCAAAGTGTGACCCATCACGCAGCAACAAAAAATCATGTTTAACGGTTTCTGTCCTACAACAATATTAATAACACATTTTATTTAAAAGCACCTTTCAAAACACCCACGGTCACTTCACAAGATACAACACAATCAAACACCAGAATAAAACAAACCCAGCAGTCCTAAAACTGGTGAGTCTTGAGTCTGGATTAGAAAAGCGTGAGGCAGTCGATGTTTCTGATGTCTCGGGGGAGTGTGTTCCAAAGATGGGGAGCAGAGCGGCTGCAAGCTCTGCTCCCCATGGTGGTGAGGCGGGCAAAAGGGCAACAATGTGGAGAGAAGAAGAGGATCTGAGTGAGTGTGACGGGGTAGCAACACAGTGTGTGATGTGTGCAGTAACACTACACAAGAACCAATTTCACACACAAACATTCCCCGGTCAGAAGGGATTTATTGTGAAATTAAACACAATTTTGGAGCGTATGAGGAGCATGCAGCATGCTTCCATTACCCTGTTTAGTGATTGGCTGCATGTCACATTTAACAGGCAGCACGCTCATTATCCTGCCTGGCATCATGACACGAAGAGGTGGAAACAAGTCCCACAGATTACAGCAGAAAACCAACCTTACTAGGTACCAATCCTCACTAGGTACCAACCCTCAACCAACCCTCACTAGGTACCAACCCTTACTAGGTACCAATCCTCACTAGGTACCAACCCTCACTAGGTACCGACCCTCACTAGGTACCAACCCTCACTAGGTACCAACCCTTACTAGGTACCGACCCTAACTAGGTACCAACCCTCAACCAACCCTCACTAGGTACCAACCCTTACTAGGTACCAACCCTCACTAGGTACCAACCCTCAACCAACCCTCACTAGGTACCAACCCTTACTAGGTACCAATCCTCACTAGGTACCACCCCTCAACCAACCCTCACTAGGTACCAACCCTCACTAGGTACCGACCCTCACTAGGTACCAACCCTCACTAGGTACCAACCCTTACTAGGTACCAACCCTTACTAGGTACCAACCCTCACTAGGTACCAACCCTTACTAGGTACCGACCCTCACTAGGTACCAACCCTCAACCAACCCTCACTAGGTACCAACCCTTACTAGGTACCAACCCTCACTAGGTACCAACCCTCAACCAACCCTCACTAGGTACCAACCCTCACTAGGTACCAACCCTTACTAGGTACCGACCCTCACTAGGTACCACCCCTCAACCAACCCTCACTAGGTACCGACCCTCACTAGGTACCAACCCTCACTAGGTACCGACCCTCACTAGGTACCGACCCTCACTAGGTACCAACCCCTACTAGGTACCAACCCTCACTAGGTACCAACCCTTACTAGGTACCGACCCTCACTAGGTACCAACCCTCAACCAACCCTCACTAGGTACCAACCCTCACTAGGTACCATCCCTCAACCAACCCTCACTAGGTACCAACCCTTACTAGGTACCAATCCTCACTAGGTACCAACCCTCACTAGGTACCAACCCTCACTAGGTACCAACCCTCACTAGGTACCAACCCTTACTAGGTACCAACCCTCAACCAACCCTCACTAGGTACCAACCCTTACTAGGTACCGACCCTCACTAGGTACCAACCCTTACTAGGTACCAACCCTCAACCAACCCTCACTAGGTACCAACCCTTACTAGGTACCAATCCTCACTAGGTACCACCCCTCAACCAACCCTCACTAGGTACCGACCCTCACTAGGTACCGACCCTCACTAGGTACTGACCTTCACTAGGTACCGACCTTCACTAGGTACCGACCCTCACTAGGTACCGACCCTCACTAGGTACCGACCCTCACTAGGTACCGACCCTCACTATGTACCGACCCTCACTAGGTACCGACCCTCACTAGGTACCGACCCTCACTAGGTACCAACCCTCACTAGGTACCAACTCTTACTAGGTACCAACCCTCACTAGGTACCAACACTCACTATGTACCGACACTCACTAGGTACCGACACTCACTAGGTACCGACCCTCACTAGGTATCGACCCTCACTAGGTACCGACCCTCACTAGGTACCGACCCTCACTAGGTACCGACCCTCACTAGGTACCGACCCTCACTAGGTACCGACCCTCACTAGGTACCGACCCTCACTAGGTACCAACCCTCACTAGGTACCAACCCTCAACCAACCCTCACTAGGTACCAACCCTTACTAGGTACCAATCCTCACTAGGTACCACCCCTCAACCAACCCTCACTAGGTACCAACCCTCACTAGGTACCGACCCTCACTAGGTACCGACCCTCACTAGGTACCAACCCTTACTAGGTACCAACCCTCAACCAACCCTCACTAGGTACCAACCCTTACTAGGTACCGACCCTCACTAGGTACCGACCCTCACTAGGTACCAACCCTCACTAGGTACCGACCCTCACTAGGTACCAACCCTCACTAGGTACCAACCCTCAACCAACCCTCACTAGGTACCAACCCTTACTAGGTACCAATCCTCACTAGGTACCACCCCTCAACCAACCCTCACTAGGTACCAACCCTCACTAGGTACCGACCCTCACTAGGTACCAACCCTCACTAGGTACCAACCCTTACTAGGTACCAACCCTCACTAGGTACCAACCCTTACTAGGTACCGACCCTCACTATGTACCGACCCTCACTAGGTACCGACCCTCACTAGGTACCGACCCTCACTAGGTACCAACCCTCACTAGGTACCAACCCTCAACCAACCCTCACTAGGTACCAACCCTTACTAGGTACCAATCCTCACTAGGTACCACCCCTCAACCAACCCTCACTAGGTACCAACCCTCACTAGGTACCGACCCTCACTAGGTACCAACCCTCACTAGGTACCAACCCTTACTAGGTACCAACCCTCACTAGGTACCAACCCTTACTAGGTACCGACCCTCACTAGGTACCAACCCTCAACCAACCCTCACTAGGTACCAACCCTTACTAGGTACCAACCCTCACTAGGTACCAACCCTCAACCAACCCTCACTAGGTACCAACCCTCACTAGGTACCAACCCTTACTAGGTACCGACCCTCACTAGGTACCACCCCTCAACCAACCCTCACTAGGTACCGACCCTCACTAGGTACCAACCCTCACTAGGTACCGACCCTCACTAGGTACCGACCCTCACTAGGTACCAACCCCTACTAGGTACCAACCCTCACTAGGTACCAACCCTTACTAGGTACCGACCCTCACTAGGTACCAACCCTCAACCAACCCTCACTAGGTACCAACCCTCACTAGGTACCATCCCTCAACCAACCCTCACTAGGTACCAACCCTTACTAGGTACCAATCCTCACTAGGTACCAACCCTCACTAGGTACCAACCCTCACTAGGTACCAACCCTCACTAGGTACCAACCCTTACTAGGTACCAACCCTCAACCAACCCTCACTAGGTACCAACCCTTACTAGGTACCGACCCTCACTAGGTACCAACCCTTACTAGGTACCAACCCTCAACCAACCCTCACTAGGTACCAACCCTTACTAGGTACCAATCCTCACTAGGTACCACCCCTCAACCAACCCTCACTAGGTACCGACCCTCACTAGGTACCGACCCTCACTAGGTACCGACCTTCACTAGGTACCGACCTTCACTAGGTACCGACCCTCACTAGGTACCGACCCTCACTAGGTACCGACCCTCACTAGGTACCGACCCTCACTAGGTACCGACCCTCACTAGGTACCGACCCTCACTAGGTACCAACCCTCACTAGGTACCAACTCTTACTAGGTACCAACCCTCACTAGGTACCAACACTCACTATGTACCGACACTCACTAGGTACCGACACTCACTAGGTACCGACCCTCACTAGGTACCGACCCTCACTAGGTACCGACCCTCACTAGGTACCGACCCTCACTAGGTACCGACCCTCACTAGGTACCGACCCTCACTAGGTACCGACCCTTACTAGGTACCAACACTTACTAGGTGCCAACCCTCACTATGTACCGACCCTCACTAGGTACCGACCCTCACTAGGTACCGACCCTCACTAGGTACCGACCCTCACTAGGTACCAACCCTCACTAGGTACCAACCTTCACTAGGTACCAACCCTCACTAGGTACCAACTCTCACTAGGTACCAACCCTCACTAGGTACCGACCCTCACTAGGTACCGACCCTCACTAGGTACCGACCCTCACTAGGTACCAACCCTCACTAGGTACCAACCCTTACTAGGTACCAACCCTTACTAGGTACCAACCCTCACTAGGTACCAACTCTCACTAGGTACCAACCCTCACTAGGTACCAACCCTCACTAGGTACCAACCTTCACTAGGTACCAACCCTTACTAGGTACCAACCCTTACTAGGTACCAACCCTTACTAGGTACCGACCCTTACTAGGTAATGTTTTTGGTCCACAAGGTACCTCCTCAGCTAGCAGACCTCTGGTCCCTGGTTCTTTAAATCTCAGGGGATGATTGGTGGAACACACTTTAACTTCGTCATACATAAACTTCAACAATGACTTTGATTCAGTAGCTTCTGGATTTCAGAAATCCAAAAGCAGAGATGATACGGAAACTCAGGCCTGGACCCTTAAGCGTACCACTCTAGGGATGATAGCTCCCTAACTTTTGTGGACATCACCTGTTATGCTCTGGCATCCTCCCCCTCAGTGGACAGCGCATAACTTCACGTTTTAGGACTATGCAGAAGAGCACCTGGAGGTCAGACCCTATTCTCACTGGATGGTAAATGGCCTGTAATTGTACAGGGCCTTGTTAGGGTTACACAATCCCCCAAGGCGCGTCATTACACAATCAGTCATTCACCCATTCATACACACATTCACACGATGGTGGTGATGAGCTACGATGCCGCCACAGAGGTGCACTAGATAACAGCTCATGTTTCAGGGTGCTTATGTGTGTGGCAAAGCAGATAATCTATAATCTATAATCCCACTAACAATCTGACACGTGGAACCATCACAATCCACTAAAGAACACATCAACCAGCAGCCTAGACAGTGAAGACCGGAAGGGGAAGGTGTTTTAGCCCAGAGACTTTTCATTTCATTACATTTCAAAACTTTATTAACTCATTCACTGTCAATGACGACTAAAGTCGTCATTTGCATTTTTTACTGTGTGGGCGTCGGACGAGCCCCCGCGCCGTGAGAAAAAACATCTCAGCTCTAAAGCCGATCTTCATCCGCGTACGTCACACGTCACGTGACCAGGAAGCAGAACATCCATGTGTTAGGAGGTCGTTTTGGGCCGCTGCTGTAAAAAAAGTGAGACGCGAACCGGAAAAGCTTCTGCCGATCACAATTCAACAACGGATTATGAAAGAACGGATAACGCTCGAAATAGCGGATTCTTCCTGATGTAAGAGGTGAGTCTCCGCTTTGTTTTGGTTGTTTTGTCGTCGACATCATGCTAGCGCGCAACGTTCAGTCACTCTTAAAAAAACTGTAAAAACGGTGAGAAACGCTGGCAGCGAATGACTTAAACAGGAAAAGATTAAATGATAAATGACCTGTACTTGTATAGCGCCTCTCAGAGTAAGGACTCCAAAGCGCTTTACACTACAGTGTATCATTCACCCATTCACACACACATTCACACACTGGTGGTGATGAGCTACGATGTAGCTACAGCTGCCCTGGGGCGCGCTGACAGAGGCGAGGCTGCCGAGCACAGGTGCCACCGGTCCCTCCGACCACCACCAGCAGACAAGGTGGGTTAAGTGTCTTGCCAAAGGACACAACAGCAGCATCCTCAGTCCGGAGCTGGGATCAAACCTGCAACCTTCCGATTACTGGACAACCCGCTCTACCTGTTGAGCTGCTGCTGTTCCGAACCCGCCTACATGCCTGGTGACAAGGTGTGGCTCTCCACAACCAACCTCCAGCTGCAGACGGACTCCAGGAAGCTTGCTTCCTAGTTCCTTTGCCCTTATATTGTGGATCGGGTCATTAACCCTGTGGCCTTCCGCCTCCACCTCCCTCCCGGTACACATATCCACCCTGTTTTCCACACACCCCTAACCCTCCAGTGCACCGATCTTCCTGCCAGAACTCCATTACCCATCATTCCACCCACCGGCTGTCTGCCTTCACGTCGCTGCCCGTAGTATACACGGAAGTCCAGCACTCAGTCATTGTATCACCTAGAGCCGAGCCAACAGAGCCTTTGCTCCTCATCACCATCATCAAGACTTCTACAAGTTGGTATCTCTCTCTGAAGCGTCGGCTCAGGCTAGTGTCCTCTCAAGCTCTGCCCGATGCTCCTAAACGAATCGCGCGTCAGCCGCACCCGTGCTGCTACTTCGTGTTTGGATCGTAACACATGCCGTCACTCAGCCCTCTCCTCGCAGCAACCACCTGACAAGTGTGGGTCATTCATTCATTTGTTCATTCTTTATGAGAAATAGGGACATCAACAAAATAATGTAGTCATCGTTGTTGAAAACACAGCCCTGGAAGCTGTCACCTGCTGTTTGCAGGTTTTTGACCCAGACTGATGGTAACCGGCCGGTGTTGCTAGCTCAGTGACTTTGTTGCTTTTTAGGTTTTGGAGTTTGTAGATCCCTCTACTGACCCTTTCAATCAAAAAGCTTGGAACAAATTTGGCTGATTCCTTTATGGGAATGGAGAGTTTTACTGAGTGCTGTGACTGCAAATCCCTCATGGCCCTGACTAAGTGAGAGGGCAATCAGCCAGCAGTGGCCTTGTGCATGAGTGATTCACTAAACATCTGCTCTGATGTGATGTTCTTGAACAAATCGAATCTCCTGAACGGCTCCCACCACCCTCCTCATGGGGCCAGGCCTGGGCCGGCTGCAGAGTGAGCAGCACCGCCGCTCGGTGGGAAGAGTAAGAAGTACTCATGTCAAAGTCAGCTTCTTCTATTGTCCTTTTTTGGTGCGTTTAGTTTGTTAATGTAATTAACTCTCTTTGGCATCACTTATGCCACTCCCAAGCAGGGTTAAAGGAGGATGCTTCAATTAAATTAGATTCAGTTTATTTATAAACCAGGACAAGAGTCGTCTCAAGGACCTGCACACAGTAAACAACACAGGTCAGGTCAATAAGCCAATCAGCAACAAGTTTCCTATATAAGGAACCCAGCAGGTCGCATCGAGTCACTGACTAGTGTCAGAGTCTTCACAGCAATCCTCATACTAAGCAAGCATGCAGCAACAGTGGAGAGGAAAACTCCCTTTTAACAGGAAGAAACCTGCAGAGGATCCTGGCTCAGTATAAGCAGCCATCCTCCATGACAGTTTGTGATAGAGATAAAAGCTCACTAGTTGTTGTAAATGTATTTATGCTGTTTTTAACTAATTTTTGTCCCTCCTATAACATGTTTCCCCTTCCTACAGCCTCCATTACAACAGCACACTATGCAAAAGAGGTGATGATGTCATTAAGAGACTTCTAGTGACTGTTGGGGCCAGTCAGCAGCTACTTTCCATGCTGGGGAGTTGGCAACACTGCTGAAATTCATATGAATGAACCAAGAAAGCTAAGAACAGTCTCCTGTTCCACCGTAAAATGCCGTGATGTAGTAGCTGGCCTACATCTGGTCCTGCCATCATCCATCGCTCTGTGGTTCTGATCGTTATTGTTCAAGCGATGACTGACTCACAGGAACTGTAAACCAGTGTTGGTGCTGTGACGGTACCTCTGATCTCTCCTTTCTGCACAGTGAAGGGAATGACCAGACTGAAGGGACGCAGCGTTGCCTCCATCCTGTCAGCAGGGCTCATCGGATCATCTGTGGCCTAAAATCAGAGCCAGAAGGAGGGAGCATCACCAATCATGTACTGGAAACAGTGGGATGTGGTCCAGAGGGGACTGGTTAGGACTGGAGGAGGAGTGGTAGAAAAAACACTGGTGCTAAACCAGTTGGATCTAAGCCACGGCAAACTGGATCCACGACACATTTCTAATGAACAAGGTGCAAACATGCAGGAAACGAGGAGCGATAACCGAACTGATGATAATAAAACCTTTAGGTAACCCCCACCCCCCAACATGCATGAGTAGATCATGACTCCATGAGTCTAGGCTGTTATTGGGCGGGTAACTCGGTTCTGATGAAGATGGAGCTGATACCCAGGGAGGTGAGGAGGGCGCTGTGTCACACGGCTCCTCCACTGCTGGGTCGGTACCACTTGCCTGACGAAACACAAGGTGCATCAGTTAGAACGTGCACAAACAGAGTTAGACCTTCAGGACCACATCAGGTCAGACTCCAGCTGGAGAAGAGCCAGAATAACCACGGATAGGAAACTGGTTTAATAACAATAATCTTTTTTTTTGTTTATTTCATTCAAAATGAAAACAAATAAAACAATAAGAAATACATAACAATAAATCAAATTGGAACGAAAAGGAGCAGAATGAAGAAAAACAGCTTATAATTTCTGCCCCTTTTCCAGGAGAAATAATCTATTCATATATAATTACCACGTGTCAGACACACACACACAGATTCATTTTAAACTTTTTACTTTTCTGAAGTCCAGAGCGATCATGATCATTGGTTTAATTTACATTTTCATAATTATTTAGTACACTCAATTTGGTACTTTTTTTGAATATATTAAATGACAGAGTTTTTTTATTTCCCTTATAAGGTTATTCCATAGTTTAACACCATTTACAGATATATTCCACTCCTTAATTTTAGTTCTAAATCTGGGTTTTGTAAACACATCAGTTTCTTTCAGCATGTAATTACTTCTCCTTTCAAATATCCCCTGAATTATTTGTTGGCAGAGTACCTAAGTTGGCTTTATACATGGTTTGTAAGATTTTTCAGTCTTTTAAACGATGAAATTTCTGTAATTTATATCTAATAAACAACGGGTTTGATGGATCTCTACAGCCACTATAACTGATGATTCTCAGAGCTCTTTTATGTATAATGAATAAGGGTTGTGTGTAGTTTTTGTATGTTGCTCCCCAGATTTCTACACAATAAGTCAATTATGGAACAATCAGTGAATTGTACAATGCCAACAAACCAGAAACAGTAAAAACTTGACTCCATGTAATACTCCTACGGATTTGGCTATTTTACCTTTTCTGTAACTAAAATGGGATTTCCATGTCAAGTCTTCATCAATAAGAACTCCAAGAAATTTAGTTTCTTTTACTCTTTGAATTTCAGTCCCATCTATTTCCAATGACACATCGCTGTTCTTTTTATCATTAAACAGTATAAAATTTGTTTTATTAAGATTCAGTGTCAATCTATTTATATCAAACCAGTTTTTAATTTTAATCAGTTCATCATTTATCACTTTAGCCACTTCCTCAATATCTGATCCTGAGTAAAACAGTGTTGTATCATCTGCAAATAGAATGGTACCGAGTGTCTTAGATACATTTACCAAGTCGTTAACAAACAAAATGAACAGTTTTGGTACGAGGACCGACCCTTGTGTCACTCCACAATTAATACCACATAGTTTTGATTTATGGTCCTTTATCTGAACAAACTGTTTCCTTTTTTTAAAATAAGTTCTAACCCATTGATGAGCCACATCTCTTATTCCATACTGACTTAATTTTGGAAGTAACCTTGAGTGATCAATGACGTCAAATGCTTTTTTCAAATCAATGAAAACACTAACAAAGTCATTTTTATTGTCAATTGCTGTTGATATTTTATCTGTTAATTCCATTATTGCCATTGCTGTGGAATGTTTAGTTCTAAACTAATGAACTATTGTTCATTGTTTAAAATATTTTTTTTCCGATGAATTTATCCAACCCTGATCCAAATACTTTTTCCAATATTTTAGAAAACTGTGGAAGCAGTGACACCAGCCTGTAATTATTGAAACTATGTTGATCATAATTAAAGCTGTAAGCAGCGTCATTCGGCCCTCACAGCTCCGCAACGCTCCGGCCAGGCTGGCAGCCCGGGACACCCGGGCACGTCTACAGAATAGAAATGTCGACCACCCCGACACCAGAAACCTTGAATGGCCTCCTCATCCACGCCTCACCCTGACTCAGCATCTCCTCTGAGCCCAACATTTAATTACACATCTCACCACTAGGGGATACTCTATATTTACCACAGTGTTGGTGTGATGACACAGACCAAGTTTAATGCTATTCCGACAACGTTTTTTGAAGTCAGTGAATTTTAAAGTTATCTAGGGGGCGCTGTGACCAATTACAGAAAAATCCCATTGAAGTCAGCTTTGGTTGACAAAGATGGTTTTCTGTTATTTTGGCATCAATCAGACGTTGTGTGTGTTATCTAGAGCCAGAGTGCCGAAAGGTGTAGAGCTACAGGGGTTTGAACCAACAACCACATCAATGTGTTTGGTGCAGTCACGCGATGACACAAGCCAAGTTTAATGCCATTCTTACCTTGTCTTGTGAAGTATTTAACTCTTAATCTTATCTAGGGGGCACTGTGACCAATTACATAAAAATCACTCATCAGAAATTTTGTGGCGATAGCTTTAGAATTGACTAAATGAGAGGCAATTGTATGGCCAAGGCATTACGCCTGACTTCGCCGCGCCATCACAGCCGCGTTGTCTTTTGAAAGCTCCTGTAAAGTGAGGCCCAGCAACCCCAACTTGTCTTCAGTTATCTGCTACAAGTTTGTGGTGATTATATGAAATGGCGAATTTTGGGAAATTTCACAGTAAAACTTGACCTTTTTAGTCCTGAGAGGGCGAGGCTTGTGTGACATCATCAATCCACCATTCATTTCTCTTCGGGGGCGATGTCGAATGTCGATAGAATTTTTTTAACTGTAATTCTTTCATTAATGAAATTATAGCCATTTGAATTTTTTTGATGAGTGCTCAAACTTTGAGGCCTGGCCCCGCCCCTTCAGTATTTACGAAAAGTCAATTTTATTTTCTCATTTCAATCGTCCATCCCTTCTGATCGATCGCACACTATTTTTGAGATGATCGTGCAAAAAATGACCAAACTGTTCAACCAAATATAAACCCTACAAATGACCAAAACGGGGTCAAAATCGCTACTTTAGTTCAAAATGGCCGACTTCCTGTTTGATATTGACCATGGGTGCAAGAGACTTTTCTGTGCATATTGCTGAGTTTTACAAGTGTGCCAAATTTCATCACTCTACTATAAAAAAAAAAAAGGTCAAAGCGGAGGGGTATTTTTAATTTTTCAGGAGGTGCTGTCGAGCCACTTTTTTTATCAACTTTTACATCGCCATTGAAATACGTAAATTTCACGCACTTTTTATACTGGGCCAGAATTTGGTGAGTTTTTGTATATGGTAAGACCCCCAAAAAGCCATTTGAAGACGTGGAAGAAAAAAAAAACGCTGCTCGGGCCTAATAATAATAAACAGAGCAGATACAATAGGCCTTCGCAGCGCTTTCACTGCTCTGCCTTAACTAGTCAATTTAAAATCACGTTAAAACCCTTAAAATATAGCTATAGGGAATGGGCAGTCTTGAACAGGTGAGTTTTGAGTTTCGCCTTGAAGTGGTGGAGGGTAGTGGTACTTCTGAGATCAGCTGGTAATGAATCCAACAGGGAGGGGGCAGATCTGCTGAACGCGTGGCTTCCCATGGTGAGAAGATGAGCTGATGGAGGAAGCTGATGACCTGAGCAAGCAGGAGGGTGTAGATACTTGTAAGAGGTGTAAGAGATGTGATGGGGCAAGATTGTGAATGGTCTTGAATGTGAGGAATAAGATTTTGTAGTTAATCCCGAGTTTTATAGGTAATGAAGTTGCTGGATAATAGGGGTGATGTAAGGCATTCAGTGAGAGAGGATGGTGAAAGTATTATTGATAAATAGCTGAGTCTCATCAGCGTTACAGTGAAAGTTGGTGCTAAATTCGTGGAAGACCGAACCTAAAGGGATCAGATAAATTATGAATAGAAGTGGGCCAAGAACGGAACCTTGGGGAATGCCAGATTCTACATTCGTAGCGGTGGAGGGAAATGTGCTCAACTGAATGAACTGAGTTTGATTTGTAAGACATGACTTGACCCAGTTACATGGAATTTGAGAGATACCGATGTCGGAAAAACTTTACAGTGGGGTAGAATGTCAGACTGTATCAAATGTGGCACTGAGGTCAAGGAGAACTAGGACGGAGTATAGGCCAGAGTCAGCCGCCATTAAGAGATCATTAGTGATCTTAACCAGTGCTGTAGAAACGGAAGAAGCCGTACTGGAATGACTGGCATTATTATTGGCAGATAAATGTTGATGGAGTTATGAGGCTACAGTTTTTTACAGAAATGTTTAGATTAATGGAAGGTTAGAGATTGGCCGAAAAGATTAAAGTTACTAGTAATATAGGGTGGAAAACTGTAGTTTTCATAGACTAATGGACGACCCCGGTGGAAAGTGAAGAGTGAACAATCGAAACAATGAGAGGAGCCAGGGAGGGAAGGTAGGTTTTAACCAGATCAGTAGGGATCGGATCTAATTTACAGGTCGAAGGCTTTGAGCTACGAATAAGATCCAGGATTTCAGGAGTGGATGGAAGCTCAGACATGGAAGATGGATGAGCTGGAGGTGGAAATTCATCAGGATCTGAAGCAGCAGTGGCAGAACCTAAAATATGAAGAATTAGCCCAATTTTTCCATTGAAAAAGGACATTAAGGAATTGCAAATTTCATCGGAGAGGAAGTGAGACTATAAAGAATCTGGAGGACGTGTTAGTGACCTAAGCAGTGAGAAAAGTGTTTGAGTTATCCTTATTAGAAGGGATTTTTGCACAAAAGTAATTAGCTTTTGCTTGCTGTATACTATCCCTGTAGTGGAGCATGTGGGAAGCGTACAATTCTCTATGAGCAGAAAGGCCTGCCTGTTTGTAAAGGCCTTCTAACTGACGGCCTTCTGATTTTAGACTGCGAAGTGTTGGTGTGAACCAGGGGGAAGTGTGTGAGGATGAAACTGGTCTAGTTCAAAGTGGAGCGGCTGCATTCAAAATTTCATGGAGACCATCGTTGTACAAGGAGACCAGGTCAGATGGTGAGAGGCATTGTATTGCTCCCATACAACTATCAATATATGAAAGGAAATAGTCCAGACTGATGGTTTAGAGATTTCTAAAGGTGACAGGATGAAATCGCTTCATGGAGGAAAGGTGAGAGTCATTCTGACGGCGAGGAGAAAAAGATCTGAGGAGGATGATTCAGTGGCAGAGCAGTCCTTGGGACTGAGTCCGGTACAGCAGATTAAATCCAGAATGTGTCCTTTGGAATGTGTTGGAGTATCAATAAACTGGTGGAAGTCAAATATGTCAAGTCAGGAGATAAAAGCTCTAGTTGCCAGAGAGCGGCTATTATCCAGATGGATATGAAAGTCTCCAATTAGATTTATGTTCAGAGATAGAGAAGACAGATGTGCAGAAAGGTCATTCATTAAATCTTTGCTGGGTTTCGGTAAACAGATGCAACAGTGGTGGGAATAGAGCCAAATATCTGACAGACTCAAAGGAACCATAGGGAGGGACGGTCTGCGGCACAACCAGCGTTGTTTCACGGTAGCGTATCACGAGTTCTCCACCACGGCCGGAGTTGCGAGGTTTCACCGTGTAAACAAACTCTGGTGGCGATTCTTCGTTTAGAAAGGTAAAGTCCGGGGTTGCCATGTTTCATTTAGTGAGATGATGTCAACTTTTTGATCCGTGAGGAGATGCTGGATTAGACGAATCTTTCCCGTGAGAGAACAAGTGCTGAGGTGAGCAAAGTTGACAATGACCTCACTGAGATGAGCAGGAGTGCTAGCCACCTTAGCCAAGCTGGCTAACACTCTTGTGTCCGAGGTCCTGCCAGATCTACTCGGAGGTTAACGAGAAGTGGACCAGTAGGATGTTACTGGTGCTCGAGTTTCTTCTTGAAAGCGAGATGTTGGATGATTATATCTCCGTCGGGCTGGAAGATGATGTCTGGGACAGGATGGAGAGCGTCTATAGGAGAGCCTGACAGCCTTAGGTGAAGTCGAAGGAGATCCGCTGCCGAGTACTGGAATATGCTGCTGACCGGCTGAATCACAGCGGACAGGAGACACAGGACAGGTGCGAGCCAGGTAAGAGCGCTGCAAATCCACTGATCCTGTCATTGTTGTTAACTCCATCAAAGAAAGCCTTGAATGTTTAAGAAAAGGTTCTGGATTAAGTCTGGTTCGGTTAAAAAGTATTCTCGGTTAGTTCACAGAGGTCCTTAAGAGTTTTAGGATAAAACGGTGATTAGAAACGGTTGGTTAGTCCTCGACAGGCAGGTTAACACCCAGTTAGATGGGCGAGTGACCTGGTAAAGACCAACCCCACAAACACAACAGAAACGTTCACTCAGCTGGTTACAGTAACAAACCCAAACCCGGTCAGAACCCAGATCTGGGTCTGCAGCAGCTCACCACCACATGGAAAGGGCTGTTGGGAATGTGCTCCCCTCCGAACCGGATTGTGATGATGTACTTCCCGGGTTCTGGAGCTGTGTAGTAAATATCAAACGTCCCGTTTGCGTTCTCCACCACGTCCACGTCTAGCTCCGCCCCATCAGGAGTCGACACCTTGCAGGTGACTTTGCCTTTCCCAGCAGCCTTGGCATCCACTGTGATGACAGTCTCCTCCCCGATCTGGATGGTGGGGCCGAGTCCTGAACCTGATGAGGGAGATTAGATCTGAGATCAGCTGATGGGGCTTCTGTCCCAAACACCAGTCCTGGTGGAGGTTTCCTGCATGACACACTCACCCAGTCCATGTCCTCCAATAGACACTGAAACAAAACAACACAATCAGCTGAAATGCTTCTGGAGCTGACAGGTGAGCAGAAGGCTGGTGGGCGGAGCCTGACCTGTGACCAGACACTTGCTGGCATCTCCAGAGGGTGTGGCGTGGATCCGATAAGGCGAGTATGGGATCTCGTCTCCTCCGTACTTGATGGTGATGGTGTAACGCCCTGTGATGTCTGGCACGTAGGACACCATGTACGTCCCATCCCGATTATCCCGGATGTTGGCCTTCTTCAGTTTTCCTTCTGGATCCTGACAAGGACAGGAAGTTAATACTGATGAAGGACACAGCTGGGACCTGCAGTCCAGGTGATGCTTCACATGTAAACACCTGGTTTACGCTTCAGGACTCCCTCCTTTGGACCTCATAGACTAAACTGGATCACTCTGGGTGAGTCAGCAGTTCTAGAGAAAGCTTCAGACCGGCCATCTGAAGCAAAAACCTCTCTAACCATCAAAGCTTTTGACACGTCGTCAAAACCTTTTTGCACCTGGGAAGCTGACACCGCAACAGTTCCTGCAGAATGAGCTGATAATGTTCTGACTCCTTCAGAGACCCAGACGCGCGGTTCCATCCGTCTGTCGTGACCTGGAGACAACTCTAAGGCCGGTTTAGTGGGGCCACAGTTTCTTCTACGGACCTCGGTGCCTGGAAGTCCGAGGACTTTGACATTCCGGATCTATCACGAGGGTCTTCGAGTGGGTACGTAGACACACAGATAGCGTCTGATGTGTTTTGATAATAATCAACTTCATAGCTTAACACAAACCAAATTCTTTTACATCCAGAACTCGGCTCTCCTAGATACGGAAGTTCTGACCAACATCATTCACATCTAGTTCCATCCATCACAGTAAATGCTAGTTAACCTGTCATGTTTTAATTGTTGGTAAAATAAATTCTTACTTTTATAAACCTGAATGTTTTCTGAATCAAAACAAAGTGTGTACATCCCCTAATAAATAAAGAACCCTAGAATCTTCTGATAAACACATAAAGACCAGGCAGGTTGATGTTCTATGTTTAGATAGAGTATCACAGCTTATTGGTCATGAGTAGAGGTAAAATATATGTTGAGCTCTTAAAGCACTCAGTTTCCTAAACCCTAGATGATGGCTGCTGTGGGTGGTTAGGGTTGTGTTTTTAATGACGTTGTGATGTTTGGACTCCTCGTGGAACAGTAAGCAGCTCTTTCAGCATTCCTACAGAAGCTCTTTTACTGATTGGCTTAATGACCTGAACCGTGCTGGAACGTTTACCGTCTGCTGGGCCTTGAGACGACTCTTCTCGTGTTTTGGTGCTACAGAAATAAACTGAATCGAATTGATTGAACATCCTTTTAAGCAGGAATAAAATAAACATTTTCATTTTTAATTATTATGACAGTTTTATATATTTTATTGAAATTTTATTGAAAACTTCTCGACTAGAAGTCATCTGGGAAGTAAAGGCGTTGTTTGATAATGATGACACCCTCTCATCTGCTCAGATGGCTGGACAAGCGGACGCTGGTGCAGCCTGTAAGCAGCGACGCTCCAACAAACAGATCAGAGGGCTCTGTGCCTCCTGGTGAACCTGGTCCTCCTCGGAATACTCTTGGTGCCAAGCTGAAGAGTAAATCAGATCCCTGGAGGGCAACAGGCTTCAACATCAGTAATGACCTACATCTATAAATCCTTCTGGAACCGCACCGCTACTTCTCGACCGTTAGCGTGACTGCTAACCGTGTTAGCTCCGGTAAGGAAAAAAACAAGTCATTCGGGAAAGCTATCACACACACACACACACACACACACACACACACACACACACACACACACACACATACATACATACATACACACACACACACACACACACACACATACATACATACATACATACATACACACACACACACACACACACACACACACACACACACACACACACACACACACATACACACACACAGATATAATCTCCTGGATTAGTGCAAACAACGAGTCAAACTAGCGAGTTACCGCAGCATCAGGAAGATTTATTCTGGCAAATTATTGGTTAAATATTAAAAGAGTTATATCAATATAGACACGTAGCGGTAAAAGTGGCAGCACATTACTTTATTTATCTGTAGATTATTGAATTATATCGGGGCAGATGCTGGAGCTAGGACCTGGAGTCAGCTGAGACTTCCCAGTGGAAGCGCTACAAGCTCAGAAATGTAACGTTTAACTAAAGTCAACAAACTGAACTGATTTTGGTTCTGAAGATGAACAGAATCCTCCTCGGTGTCCAGATCGGGTCGCGGGTCTGAGTCAAACGGTCTAAAACGTGTCTGCACCTCCAGTAGTGATATCCAGCTAGCGGGTCGGAGTTTGGTTGAACTTCTCCGGTAATCCGACATCCGTTCTGGTCGCCGTGTCCCAGAGAAAAACCAATGTGCCCGACTAGCAGAGGCTTCAGAAGCTACATCTGACTGGCGACACGTTGTTCTGCTGTAACGCAGAAACAGAGTCGGGTTGTTTACTACAGCTCCTGATTCAGCTCCTTGTGGAACGCCACCAGCTGTCCAGGGCTCAGACCGGAAGATAGTTCCTGTTTTTCCCGCGCCGGTCACAAACATCAGATTTTCCTAAAGTTCCAGCTGTGAAAATCCAAAAACCTTTTTCATCTGAGGTTTTAATACTTCTTTACACGTGATGTTCAGAGGAGTTCAGCCTCTGGCCGACATCTTTAACAACTCCCGTGTTCTGTTAGCTACTAGTGAGAGGCTAACTAGTCTCCAACACAGTTAAACCCTGATTTCATTTCCAAACTAAGTCTAATGAGTTAGCATCCTTTTTCAATGAGAAGATCATGAACATCAGACCATCCATCACAACCGGACCACAGCAGCAGTCTGGCTAGAGCAGCAGCTTCCAGCGTGATCAGCGCTGAGACGCTGGAGAACATCGTTCAGGTTAAACTCACCCACCTGCTGCCTGGACAACCTGCCAACTCACTCCTTCTAAAATGTTTTAGCTGCTTAAAAGCTGATGTGGTGAAAACTGTTAACTGTTCCTTAGTATCGGGTATTTTCCTACATCAGTGAAACCTCTTCTAGAGAAAAGGAAACTAGATCCTTAGTGATGAACAACCACAAACTCATCTCTAAATGACAGAAAAAGCTGTTATGATCCAGCTGAGCAGCTTTGTAGAGACAAACCAGTCTCCAGTCAGGCTTCAGACGACACCACAGCACTGAGACGGCACTCATTAAAGTATTAAACCCTCTCCGTCTAAACACAGATTCAGGTAGAACATCTGTCCTGATGATGCTCCATCTCACTGCAGCTGTTGATACTGAGGACCACAGCATCCTTCTGATAGACTCATAACCTGGGTGGGACCTTCAGGCACAGTCCAAAGTTGCTTCTGGTCTTATCTAGAAGACAGGAGGTGTGATGTTTCTACTGGTCAGTCCTGTTTTGGTGGGCACCGTAGTTTCAAGGAGGCGAGCAGCTCCGAGTGGCATCGTGTCATGTCAGCAGGTGAGTGGCTGAGGCAGGTGGAGGTGTGGCGAGACTCAGCAGGACCTTCATTCATCAAACATCTGTAGCAACTGTCCTATATTCCCTCCTACAACTGAAACGTAGAACGTGTGTTCGACCAGTCAGAACACTGATTTATGAGGCCGCTCGTACGAACGTTCACCTGATGATGAATCCCACCTGTGCGTGCACAGGTGCTCGTGTCCATTCACTGTTATTTAAATACAGAAACACCTTTGATTAACCATATTTGGTCACGCTACGCCCTGAGCACGTAAGGGAACGCCCTGTTTTTTGTCTTCCAAAAGAATAAGAAAAACTTTATTGACAGCGAGATGGAGACGCTACGCGGCTGCCGAAGCGCAAAAACACTCAACAGGTAGCTGAGGTTGCAACGGCGGCCGGGACAGAGGAGGGGTTCCTGTCAGGAATACATAAAAGATGTCCCCACATCCCAGCACAGCAGTGTCATGATCTATGTCCCTTTGGTCCCTAGTCCCCTCCTGTTCTCCCTCCAGGTGTCCACTCAGGTCTTGTGCTCCTTGTGGTCCCCAGCCCCTTCCAGGTTTCCCTCATGCTTCTCCCTAGTCACTTTATACTTAGTTATCCCGTCCAGTTTAGTCTAGTCTCCCATAGATCCCCTCTCTTTAGTTGTTCTGGTGTTTCAGGGTTAGTAGTTCTCTCATCTTTAGTTATCTGTGTATTTATATTATATCTAGTTAGTATTCCCCTTTGGTCAGTCTCTCCTGATCCCTTCAGCTCACACACCTGCTACCTGTTTCTCTAATTGCTTCCCTCTGTGTATACAACCCTGTCCTGTCTCTCAGTGTGTGTCGGTCCATCGTGTGTGTCCGCGTTGTTCTGCCCCTCTCGAGTGTCTCTGAGTTCCTGCTCATGAGTGAGCTTCTGCTTAGTTTTGGATCGGTCAGCTTCAGCGTGTTTTGAGATGAAGTCTGGTTTTTGTGCCTCTGGACTTTTGGCGCATCCTCCTTTAAATAAAGGAAATATTCTCTTAAACCACTCCTGCCTCGAGTCGTTCTGGGGATTCTGCATCCTGGGTCCAAACTCCTGCTCCCAACGTGACAAGCAGAAGGAGTTCTCCCTCACGGAGAAGCGTTTCCCCAGAGAGCACGCTCTGGTTAATCCTCCAGTAACACATCAGTCATGATGTCATGTCAGATTCCCGTCGGGCACACGTGTCTTCCACCTGTGTTTTCCACCAACACAACTACATACTGGGTAAATCTAATTGGATAACTGAGACTTCAGTCCTGCTGTTCCCCGTTCCACCACTAGATGCTGCTCCTACACGCGGTCAGATGTTCTCCTGTGTAGGAACATGTTCACGCACAAGTACTGACTGGTAAATACCACACAATGCATAAAATACTTCCCATGCATGAGATACGCACAGATCTGTTTGTGCGTACGGTGGATAAATGAGGGCCCAGGGGTGCAGTGCAGCCGGACACGTCTCC